AATTCTGTCTTCAGTTTCTCCATTTTCTGTCCGTTTTCGGTCAACTGTCCCTCGACTGAGTTCGGGTCACCCAAAGCGCTGTTCTGTTCGTAGGCCTGTCTCATCTTCATGAGGCCGTCCCTAATGTGAATATCAATTGCAAACACAAATATTTACATTCATTCGTCACAACAGTGTTTGCGTTGGTTTGAGAGTAAACAGTGGTTAGAGAGGGAGCAGGAAATGAAGTTTTTCGAGAGGGCTATCGAGTGATCATATGGTGAACTATACCTGACAGCCGTCTCTTGAGTGAATTGATTCTGGATTTGCTCGATCTTCGCCTGAATCTTCTTACGCCTCTGGTTTGGTGGCAGATCTGCGTAATCGTCCTTTGAATCGTCAACATTGGACTGCATTTATACAAACAAATAGTATATCAGTTATCATCGCATTATTAGATTACATTAAATTTTATGCAAAACATATAAAAACGGATTCAAAATAATAAAAATAACGACAACTAAAACGATAACAGTTTGGACACAAGGATTGAACTGAAAATCCATAAAAAGCGAGCGATTTATTCGTTGATTACTTACAGAAAGTATAGGTTATTAGAAGAAAGAAATAAATGATTTGTTTGGATAATAATATTTTTAATCCAAAGACCAATTGATAGTATAGTTCAGGAAATATTGATAAATCAGGGAAAGAGATAATGAATTCCATCAGATAATTATTAAATAAAATAAATATCTATTAAAACGGTATATAATTTGATAAAATAATTTAAAACAATTGGTATAATAAAAGCGTTAAATACTTTGTTTGAGCCAAAAATGCCAAAAATACCGCCCCTTTTCTTGAACCGGGCGGCCGATAGGGTTCCTCTCAATGTCTCCGATTTGATTGAAGTGGAATAATTCAGAGAAGTACTACCTCTGGAGGGAATGCCATTCTCCGACTCTGGCCTCGGATTACTCAAGTCGTCGAATGGGATGTCTTCGGGCGGCATATTTCCCGATTTATACCTCTCTATCACTTGTCGGGTGTCCTCTTTCGGGTCGATAATCTCCGCCGCTTTGATCACACCTTCGAGACATTTATCAATAATGGGAAACACTTGTCGGTGAATGTGTGCGCTCTGTCTCATGAAATTTTGAATACACGCCTCGCGACGCTCCTCCATGTCCTGCAACTGATTAAATATCTTTGGCATCAGTTCCGCGTAGTGTCTCCTCTGGAGTTCGTTGCTCTTCTGCAAATGGTTCGCGTATTCCGTTTTACACTCGTCTGACATCTGAT